TTAAACTTTTCCATCAATTAAAGAGAATGTCCTATCAAAATTTCGTGTTTTGTGTTTTTTTTTTCTTTGTTTAATGAGATTCTTATATATTTCCAAACATGGCAAGTTCTTCAGTTCCTGATGACGAGGCAGAAGAGTTTAAGTACTTTTTTAGGGTTTCAAGAAAGACTTTTGATTACATCTGTTCTCTTGTGAGAGAAGATCTTGTATCAAGACCGCCATCGGGGCTCATCAACATCGAAGGGAGGCTTCTTAGTGTTGAGAAACAAGTTGCAATCGCCCTCAGAAGGCTGGCATCTGGCGAGTCCCAGGTTTCAGTTGGTGCTGCTTTTGGGGTTGGCCAATCCACAGTTTCTCAGGTGACTTGGCGATTCATCGAGTCGCTGGAGGGGCGCGCCAAGCACCACCTCAGATGGCCTGATTCGGGTAGAATGGAGGAGATCAAGTCCAAGCTTGAAGCATCCTTTGGATTCCCCAATTGCTGTGGAGCCATAGATGCAACACACATCATTATGACCCTCCCCGCTGTCCAAACCTCGGATGATTGGTGCGACCCTGAGAACAATTACAGCATGCTCTTGCAGGGAGTTGTGGACCATGAGATGAGGTTTCTTGATATAGTGACGGGTTGGCCTGGAGGCATGACGGTGTCGAGATTATTGAAGTGTTCGGGATTTTACAGGCTATGCAACGGAGGGGAGCGATTAAACGGGAATGTAAGGACTTTGTCTGGAGGAGTGGAGACTAGAGAATATATCGTTGGTGGGATTGCCTATCCCCTCCTTCCCTGGCTCATAACTCCTTATGAAAGTGATGACCTCACAACTCACAGATCGTCTTTCAATGCAATGCTTGAGGCTCCTAGGTTGCTTGCCGTGATGGCGTTTTTGCAGTTAAAGGGCAGCTGGAGAATCCTTAACAAGGTTATGTGGAGACCTGATAAACGCAAACTGCCAAGCATTATCTTGGTATGTTGTTTGCTTCACAATATAATTATAGACTGTGGAGATAAGTTGCAGCCGGATGTTGCGTTATCGGGTCACCATGATTCAGGATATGGAGAACAGTGCTGTAAGCAAGTTGATCCGTTGGGGAGGAAAGTAAGGGAAAACTTAGCCGAAGCACTTGCAGCACATTACAAGAAAAGTACTCCAAAGTAAACTTTTCTGTTTCTGTATCTTCAATTTGAGTGTAAATTTGGCAGGGTGGTTTCTTGTACTGATCTTGTTGAGTTTTGAGTTTGAAGCCTCCTTGACCAAAGCCTTCATGTAAGCATGTTTGCAAGGAGAATGGGAAATTTTAAGCCCCCAAAAAAAGGGGGAGAAAAGGAAATTTATCTCTTAAGCCAAGTGTTCTCTATTAACTCCCATAGTGTTAGTGTTGACACCAAAAAAATAAAAATAAAAATAAAGGGCTACTGCGTGAATTAAGGTATAATCTGCAATACGTCAGATTTTAAAGAATTAGGCTCTGTTCATTTAACCACTTTGAATTTTCAATTCTAATTTTGCTATAGTTAAAAACTCTCTTAAAAAGTCACATCTAATTTTTTTTGCTACAGTCACATAAAATTACATCTTAACTCGAATTGAAAACTCAAATTTACATTGAAAACTCGAATTCGCGAACTGAGCGAGACCTTAGTCTTAGTGTTATTTTGCATTGTTTAATAAATTCCTGCTCTAGATTAGCAAAAAATAAATTCATGTTCTAACGACTAACGCTGAAGAGTAAGAGTCCACTTCATGCAATAATACATTCATATATTTATATATATTGAGTGCTCAAATACCCAACAAATAAATATCACACTACAAATGAATTTCAATAGGGGAGTCAAACTCTAACATGGTGGTTTCCGATTGAGACCTGCACTAAATAATAATTAAAAAGAAAAAACTGTAAAAAACAAGTCCATGAGATGAGAGATGGCTTCCTTTGATTAGTGGACGGGCCTGTCATCTACAGCAGGATCTCAAAAACTAAAAGAAGACCAGATCCTCTATAAAAACGATAAAAAGGAAAAGGTCGTACGGTCTACATAGAACAGCTCTAGAGATAGAAAATTTATGGACAGAAATTCTACCGTCTCATTATTTATAAAACTACATTTATGTGCTGATAATTGAGAAAAATAAAAAAGTTTTATTGCTTTTAATCTCCTCTAGTTGGTGGCAGCACGCATGAACAGAAAGCGGCTCTCTTGTACTTGCGGCCGGTTCTGATCCCGCCACCATATAGATAGTCACGCAAGAGAACTCTTGACTTGTGCTCAGTGATTCTAGTTCTTGGTCTGCTTTCTTTTGCATCACCATCAAGCTTCAACAGCAGAAACTGTAATCTCTGGACTTCCAATTGCAAACGGCCAATCTTTTCCGATCCCCTTCTCGCCTGCTCCGAAATTCTCCTCCTCCTCACGCTCCCACTTTCATCTGATCCATTTGTAGACATCCCATCTGAGGATTGTGAACCATCTTCGAGGTTTTTCATCAACTTGCGATTCGCATCATACAACTTTGTGATTGCCTCCTCGGCCTCCTCTAGTTGCCCCTTCACACTGTCATACTCAATGCCTTTGCCCTTCTTGGTCTTCTCAGTGATCTCCACCTTTCTCTTCAAATCCTGCAAGGTTATCTGAAGGTTTGACAGCTTCTGAGCATCAGAATCTAGTCTTTCAAGGAGCCTTTTCTTGTTCCCTTCTTGACGAGACTCGGAGAACCTTCTTGAGATCTCTAACTTGTCCACCCCCAACTCCTTCTCCATTAGTGATTCTATAGATGGGGCTTTGCTCTTGTGTGCTTTGACTGCATCAACCCGACGATGATCATTCGGTGTAGTAGCCGTCTTCTGAGCCTTCCCAACCTTCAAGTCAATGCTGCCATCGTGGTCAGTGGTCTCCCATAACTCGAGCATTTGATTATCCGCGTTTTCTCTCTTGCTTCTTCCAAAGGATGAACAATCAGAAGATATATGATCAAGCATGATGTCTTTGGTCAGAACTTCATTACCCAATTCGGAGATTTCATGCGATTTTGTCTTTGTTCGCACCTTCAGGTTCTTGTTGAACCCGTTCCTCAATTCTTCTTCCTCTCCACTTACAGTGATATGCTTGCTTGTTTGACCATTTTCTTGGTACTGTCTAGCAACGGCCTTTAACTCTTCAATCTCTCTCATTGCAGCATCCAGTTTGGTACTTGCAGTTAAGTTTTCCAGCATCACATTCTTTTGCTTTTCCACCACTGCCATTTCTAAGGCTCCGATCCTTCTTTCCAAATCCCACAAGTCCGAAATACCATTTGGCACTGCACCGCTGTGAACTTCATTTGTTTCAGAGATTTCAGCGTACCGGGTCACCGATTGAGCATCCTGGAACAAATGAAATAGCTGTCAGTTTTTAGATGATACCCAAAACCACATGTGAGGCTGAATTAATTAATGAAATGTTAAGGAGACCGTAAACCCTTAACACTTGAAGTGTCAAAACTATAAGGAAATAGTAATGGTATATATGTAAAAACAGAAATTACCTCTGATTCTTCATTGACGAGTTTGCAAGGTTCTCCTTGCATTGCTGTATTCTTCTCAAGAGACGCTATAGAATTCTTCAAAGAGAGAACAGCTGATGAATATGCAGCCAACTGAGCTTCGAGTCCTCCATTTGCGTCCTCGAATGTGCCAACTTTTTGTTTCAGAAGTTCAATCTCCATACTCTTGGAATTGCTTCTGCCTTTGAGGCTTACAAATGCTTCAGTGATCTCATTAATCTTTCCTTCGAGCAATGCTTCACAAACGTTGGCGGTTTGCAGTTCAACAAAGAATGCCTCACCCTTGCCCTCCCACAGCTTAATCTCATTTTCCTTCTGAGACACTAGCACCTTTGCATCGATTATTTCACTTTTTAATTGATCATTGACAGATTTAACCATATTCAGCTCACTGGCTGACTTATCCAAACACTCCTTAAGATGCAGGTTTTCCTTCTGTAGACCTTCCAACTTTTCCTCCAATAATCTTGCCTTCTCATCGAGGTCAGTATTAACAAGATGAAGTTTGTTCAACTCTCCACTAAGCTCTTCAAGATCCGCCAGCTTTCTGGAGATGATATCATTCAAAACGAGAGAAAGATTACTGTAAAATATTGTTTCATCAAACATGACATGGTTGTCCTTTTCCAGGCAACTTTTCTGTTCTTCCAAGTCCGAGACTATCTTCGCCAAGGATCCTTTCTCTTCAAGGGCCTTAGAATTATCATCCTGCAGATTTTGGTGAGCCCCTTGCAAGCCCAACAGCTGCTTGTGAAGGCTTTCTGATTTAGACGTCAATACTTCCTCCCTTTTGTCACCCTCTTCTATTTTCAGTCTCAATTCTTCATTAGTCTGCAAAAGCTTTTGCTTCTCTACAAGTAATGCCATTAACTGCCCAGACTGGATCCCAAACTCCTTTTCAAGACTATTTCTTTCTGTCATAAGATTAGCACCCTCTGACTGCAGTTGCTCTAATATGGTCACAAGAACTGACTTCTCAATAATCAGTTGTTGATTTTCATCACAACTTCTAAAGAGAGAATCTTGTGTCTCTTGGAGTTTGACAAATACATTGTTTAGAATTCTTTGATCCTGCTCAACCCTATTGCCACAGCCATGATCCGTGTCAATTTGTAGAGTCTTCATCAACTTATCAAGCCCCATTTTCAGTACATTATTGTGCTCTGCCAGGGTTTTGTTCTCCACTTTTTGTTCAATATTTCCATGCTCCAACTCCGAAATCAGTTTCTTTGACTTTTCTGACGCCTCCAAGAGCTTTTGGTGCTCATTGAGGAGAGAGAGACCCTTTTTCTCCAGGCCTTGTATGCATTTTAGCAAAATTAAGATTTCGATATGAGCACTGAATGCTTTCACTTGTTCCTCTTCATATTCTTTCTTCCTGCAAAGACCTTCTTCTTGTAGTTGACGAATCTGCAATTCCTTACCTGCCAAATGGGTCTCACTCAACTGCGTGAAACTGGCACGCTCTTTCTTCTCGGCATCCAAGAAAGCACGTAGTTCTTCAACCGTGCCAAGTGCAGTCTCTCTCTCCTTTTCAAAAGCAAAAAGTTTCTCTTCTAGTACTGCATATCTATTTCCTAGACCCTCAAGTCTCTGCCGATTAATGTCCAACTGAGAAGCTAAACTTTCTTTTTCTGTGACGAGATTGGTCTTCTCTCCGTCGAGCAACAAGCATGAATCTTCTAAGCTCCTGGACTTCACCCTCAATACTTCAATTTCAGCATTCGCATCGAAAAGAGAATTTTCCAAAAAGTTGTTTTTCTCTGACAGTTTATCCAAATTCTCGGTTGTAACTTGTAATTGAGAAGTCAAACTGGTCTTCTCAGCAGCAAGATTGGACTTCTCTTCTAGAAGAGACTGACATGATTCTTCCAGTGCCTTCACCTTCTCTCTAACTCCTTCTAACTCAACATGCAAATCAGCAAGAGAGTTTTCCAAAAGCGAATTTTTCTCCGTAAGTTTCTCCATGATCTTCAACTGTTCCAAAAGAGCTGCTTTCTCATTTTGATTTGCCTCGCAGTCTTGCTTTAGCTTTGAGTTCTCGTCCTGCAATTCCTTCACAGATGACGCGAAGCATTCTGGATCAAAGCCAACTGAATCGACCTGCTCTAGCATTGACCGGTTCTTCTTACTCAGTTCATTCAGTTCTTCCTTCAGACAGTAAATCTCTTGCTGGAGAGCATTTCTCTGGTCCACTCGAAGTTCAACCTCCTCTTCAAGTTTCTTTATTGTCTCTCTCAAGCTCAACATCTCATCTTGCAGATTCTTTATGGACACTGCAGAAGACAAATTGAGCTCATTCAGACTCTTGTTTTGCTCCTTGACTTTCTGGACCTTATTTTCCAAACCCTGATTACGAGTTTTCATGTCCTCCAAGATTTCAGCCCTATTCTGAAGCTGTGCGACCAGTGATCTTAGTTCTTCCTGAGACTGAGAATGCAAATGCTGCAATGTTTGGAAAGCAGTTTCAGCTTCCACAAATCGCATCCTCTCTTCTTGTATGCAAGTCCAAAGTCTACCCAGTTCCTTCTGCTTCTCTGTTAGTTCCTCACCTTGAGATCCCACCTTATGCACTAAGGACTCCAACTCCGACTGTAGATTCTGATTAGATCTTTCCAAAACAAGACACCTGTCTTCGGCACTCTTTAACTTTGCAACCCCATCATCTATCTCATAATTGAGCCTTCGAGCCTCCTCTTGAGAACGAGAGAGTTTCTGCTTAAGTTCAGTCAATTTCTCTAAGCACTGAAGGTATTTCAGAGCAGCAGCTTCCTTCTCCTCCATTAATTTGGAAACTTCTCGCTTCAAGGTTTCAACTTCACATTCAGCTTTATCGAAGCGCATAGTAATTTGTCTAGCATTCTCCTCTGCTCTCAGTAACTTATCCTCCAGATTTGATATCATCTCCAGATAATATTTGTACTGTGCAAGTGCAGCTTCTTTTTCAGCTCCCATCCTAGCAAGGTCTTGTTTTAGATATTCCACTTCGGTTTCCGCTTTTATGGCACGCTCATTATGCTCACCAGCATCCTTTTGAGCAGAAGAAATACTGTTTTCCAGACTCGATATTGTCTCCAAATACTGCTGGTATTGAAGAAGAGTAGCTTCCCTTTCAGCCTGTAATTTGGCAAGAGCCTCTTTCAAATTCTGAACCTCAGTTTCCGCTTTGCTAGCTCGTTCACTGAGGCCCCAGGAATCTTCTTGGGCTCGAGAGACTTCAGACTCAAGATTGGACAATCTCTTCAAACTTTGTTCATACTCAAGTAAACCAGCTTCCTTTTCAGATTCTAATTTAGCAAGGGCTTTCTTCAATTTCGAAATTTCTGTCTCAGCTTTGCCCATTCGATCAGATTCTGATGAGGACTGAGCTTGGAGATCTTGGCCCCCATTGTTTTGGACACTTGGATCTCTCTCCTCCCCAACATCATGAAAATTGAGTCCTTTTCTAGCCCTTCCTTCTCCAAACTTGGCATGGACTACTCCTTCTCCAGAACCAAACAGATCATGTAGCTGTTTTAGACCCTTTCTTGTTGAAGGATCAGGTGGTTCTTCGGTGAAAGCTCCATTCCTCTTCGCATCCTTTTGCAGTTCATCAGAGTCAAACAATATGCGCCCAGGATGCAGCATCTCAGGTGTATGGGGATCTCCCTCAGTAGCAGAACCAGATGACTCGTCTGACCCCAGTAAGTAAACTTGGTTAGGACATACTTCTGCCATGGTTTTGTGAGCATGGCGGATCACACCAGTCGCATGATCATATCTCTCAGCTAATGCGCGATAAGCTCGGTAGAACTCTTCAACCAATTTCATAAGCTCTGGGCGTTTCTTGTAATACATCTCTGCCCTCCTCGCGAAGGAATCTGCATCTTCCTCAATGACCTTTATCATCTGTTTGACCTTGGAATCCATATCTGTTCAAGCAGTGAAGAAATAACCACAATCGATTAGGGACAAGTAAATACAAAAGATACAGAACGAACAAAAGAATGAAGCAATGCACACAAAATTTGAACCCCAAAAGAGAGAGAGAGAGAGAGAAGAAAACACAAGAATTTTGTAATTACTCTTTCGGATAACAAAGCATAAAATTACACTAACATATGGGGGGATCAGAAACAACAAAAATCAAAATTTCGAAACAGAACTCTTCTTAGCAAGGATCCTAAGTCTAATTTTAAGAGGAAAAGAGAAAAACTGAAAAGCAAATGAACTACAATGTACCTGTAAGATTTTCCTGAAGCCATTTAGAATTCTTTGGGCTTATGTGGCTATCCCACCACCAAGAATACATGCGTTTAGAATCGGCTTTCGACAAAGTAGCCATTGCTGCGGCCTAAAACACGCCTACGTCCGATCTGGGGCCGAAAACTCCGATCAAAATAAACCAAACCAGACAATTAAGTTCAAACCCAAATTGAAAATTCTCCGGAGAATAAAACTGTATATAATTATCCTGCAAAAGTCAACAACTCAATTTCAGATCAACCAGAATTTCCCTGTTGGTAGAACAACCAGATTCTCAAATTCATGATAGAAAAATCGGAAACAGAAAGCAAAGTAGTACCTGATCAATTGAACCCAACTCGGAAAACAATGTACAGGAGCTACTTCTATCTCTTAATTTTGTAACAACTACCTGCTCAACGATAAATCCGAGGCAGTGATTAAATATCTGTAAAATAATACAACAAATTCAGATATCTCATATAAGTACTAGTTCAAAACAATTTTTTTTTTTTTTCAATATTTTTCGATCAGCTTATAGACCAAGCAAGTTCTTGATAAGGAATAACGTAGAACCGACACGGTTTGAACAACATGATCAACTAAGGAACCGAGTTAAGAAAACGGTAAAGCAAAAAATAATAATAATAATAATAAAATAAAAAGTTTCAATAATTCATGAACAAAGGCGAATTCATATTACCCAGTAACCAAAATAAAGAAGCAAAGTCGTGGACCAACTATTGAAAAACATGATTAGTTGAGGATTGACAAACACGGGCATGGATTTTTTTTTTTTCCTTCATATTTTCTGAAAAGCAAAAGGAGTGAAAACTACAACTGAAAAGACCAAAGCAAAACTTACCAATAACAAATGGAAAAGTTTTTCTCCCGTTGATCTGTATGGTTTTCTCTTCCACTTTTTTTTTTTTTTTTATTGGTAGCAGCTGAAGAAATAGTTTTTTTTTTTTTATTACTTTTCTTCTCTTTCTCTCACCCCATTTGGCGAGATCTCTCAGCCTCGTCTGTTCTTAAGTTCTAAGGCATTCTCTCACTTTCTTCTGTTCATTTTCCTTTGGCTTTGCTCTTTATTCAGTGGTTGGTTTGGTACCCAATTCAGCTTTTGCAAACTGTCAAAGAGGAAAGCAGCACAAGAGAGAGAAAGAAACCGAGATAGAAAGAAACCGAGAGACAAAAACATTCTGTTAAAAATAAAAAGTAATAAAATAATTAAGGAAACAAGGCTGCTCTTTCTCTTTTTCTCATTTTGTTTCCTTTTTTAGTTTTCTTTTTTCTTTTTTTTTTCACGAGAGCTCCTTTTTTAAATTTAAAAAAATAAAAAAAATGTATTTTGAGAGTACAATATTCTTTTACTAGTATAATTATTTTATTAAAAAAATTTATGAATTAAAAATAAAGAATAAAAATTTTGATTCATGTATTTTTAAAAGGTGTTCCTCAAGATTAATCTTAAATTTTTGGCATGGTAAACGTATTTTGAGAATAATATCTTAGCGGATCCTAATTAAGGCTATGTAATGACCAAAACATCCTTGTTGGTTAGGATTTCAAAAATGTTACACTCTTGGGTTTGATGAGGTTTGACTCGCTGGAATCACAGTATTAATTGTTTAATGCTTTTTTTTTTAGGGGGGTCTTTTTCGTAGAGCATTTCACTCTCTCCACCAAAATTAAAAAGGTAAAATGGACGATTTCTTTTTTGGTTCAAAAATGGACAAATTAAAGAGTGTTTGATATTGGTTTGAATGCCACTGTTTGAAAATTTGCGTGGCTTATCAATTGCCTATATTTTTGCATAGGCTTACCCTAAAAAAATATTCACTTTTTTTAAATAAAAATATATATTTTGCATAGAAGTAAACGAGAAAATGTTATTATTATTTTTTTTTTATCGGAAAGAAAACGTTATTAATTTTAATCGTAATCATTATATTTTTGGTTTCTGGATTTTTTTTTTCTAAATTAAGGCCTCATTCGTTTCACTGATTCGAGTTTTACTACAGTAAAAAGTTCTTATAAATAATCACATCTAACTTTTTTACTACAGTAAAAAGCTCTCACATACAATCACATCTCAACTCAAATCAGCGAAACGAACGAGGCCTAAGATTACTTGAAAATCCCTCTGCTGTTTCCTTGTCATTTCTTAGTTGTTGTGGAATTGCTTATCATGGATGAGGAGGATTAGACAAAAGACTATGGTTTCTTATTGACAAAAAGGTGGAGATTAGTTTAGGACAAAAATGTGATTGGATGTGACAATGCATTTGGCATGTTATGAGGAAAAAATAATAAATAAATAAAAACAAGCTGTTTGCCGATTTTACCCAAATCCTTAATTATTTTTCTTAAAAAAAATTATTTGTCATACCACTCGCTTACATAAATACTGTTAAGATTTTTTTTCTTTTCCTTTTGAGAAATAAGTATGGTAAGATTTATTCCTTTTCTTTCTTGTTTAAATTCTCTCCGATACAAAATCACATTACACGTGTGATTAAATTAGACAATTAAATGGCTTTGACCATACATAATCACATTATAACGTCTACGAATTCAAAATTTTAGTTCAATTGGGGGGTGTTTTCCCTCATTAACAAATTTATGTTTTTTTTTTTAGAGAGAGAGAGATAGAGGAGTTTTTAGTGTATATTTTTTTTATAAGTAATTTATTAGTGTATTAGGTGTTGCAAGCATGATGTGTAAGAATACTTATTTTTAATACAAGATTTGAAATATATAATAATTTTAAGATGTTGATATAATAAGAAAAAAATGTGTACATTATAGTGCCCCCCGTCAACACTATTTACTAATATTTGAATATCATTTTATGTGAAAATTATTTTGTTACCATTTTAACGATTTAAAATTATATTTTATATCAAATGCATGGCGGGCGCTACTTAACACAACGGCTTACAAAACATCATGTGTTGTTATGTTTGTTAATCCCATATATTTTTGAGTGGTGCTGTGTTTTATTTGTATGACTAAGTTAATTAGACTTAAATAAAACGCAACTTAATATGTAATTAAAAAAAATTAATTATAAGTTATTTAAACTTTATTTGTTTTATCATTTGAATTACATCTCAAAAATTTTATCACAATGTTTTTTTTTACAAAAATTCAAATTTAATTTTTTTTGTTTTCGCGGTGTTTTTTTTATCTCACATGAATTCACTTTTTAATTTAAGTTATCAACTCAAGCAAGTGAAATAAACAGGATTTTAATTTTATAATTAAACGTGAGACTCAAAAATTCACTTGCTCTCTTTCTCTTAGAGCGCTTTGATGTTGAACCAGATATCAATTTTGCTTTTTTAAAAAATAAAAAAAAAAGGTTTAAAAGGATTCACACACTAAACAAAAGATTTTCTTTTTCTTAGAACTTAAAACACAAATCAATATTTCCTTTTAGAAAATAACGTAAAGAAAAAACCACCAACGAAAGCACAAGGTTTTATTGTCCCTCAAATATCTATAGCAATCAAACAATCAGAATTTCCCATTTGTCAACTCCAGAGGGACAAATTCAATGCCCATGTGATGATGAATTTATGATGGCCATTGCCCGTTGCTTCCTGGTTACTCAAACAAGGAGAGGAGGGTTACATTGGTAAAATGATCTCTCCCCTATTTACCAAAACTTATTTTACCTTTAAAAAGATGAAAAGGATAAACGAGGGTATAATTGTAATTTCTGACACGGAGAATCTTATAAATGCTTGGCCGATATGACACGCTGTCCTTCTTTAAGAAAGAGAATGAGAAAAAAAAAAAAAAAAAAAAAGGGAGGTCGTCACTCCTCACCCGACTAAAGAAGGAATTTCTTCTGTACAAATGCGACCACGTGTGTTTCATTATTCTTAGAGGACGTTTAGTTTGAGAATTTAAATCATGTGATTTGAATCATTTTTAATTTATGTAAATTTTTTATGAGAGAAAATATTATAGCGAATCATGAATCATGATTCGAATCAAGGAACGAATTCCTCCACCAAACATCCCCTTAATTTTAGTTTTGTTTATTTTACAGATTAAATTTTTAATTTTAATTTTATTATAATTAAAATTTTTCATAAAAAATTATATTTAATTTTTTTATTACAGTTAAAATTTTCATATAAAATCACATGTTAATTCAAATTAAATAATTAAATAAAACCTTAATTTTCTCATTATTTATTTATTTTATTTTTGTGATTCTCAAATCAATTGTCATTGGCTAACTAAATTTTTTCCTTTTCCTTGCCGCCACAAAGATGCACGGATAGCCATCTTTTTAACTGAAAATAAACGGTTTCGTTATTTTCATGGTTAGAAAAAATATATATATTTATGTGGGTGTGCATATTTATATTACAAATATTAGCAGCCTTTTTACGACCATATAGTTACATTACATAATACACACTCAATTCATTTCAACGTTTTGTTGCTTTTAATTTTGTATGAAAGAAAGGCCTTTGAGTTTGACTAGAATGAGTTAGTTTTTTTCACAAAGTCAAAGGAGAGATTATTCACTAATGTAACTTGAAAGTGAGCGGTTGGACGGTAAAGATGGTTAACTCATAATTTGGCCTCTGAAAAAGGTCCCCAAAAGGATTAAAGAGCTATAATTGTGCCATATTGACTAACCCCCAAACAAAAAAAAAAAAAAAGAAGGAAAATACAACCTGTCTTCTTGATCTATCCATGTACAAGACTCCCTCCAAATGCATGGAAGATAATCCTTTAATTTGGGTCACATATTTCTATCCAACTTTGGTCCTGCAATTAGCAAAAAGGAATCTTTATTTTTCTAGAAGAAAAATGAGATAAATACCTTCAGAATACACAGGTCTTTGATTTTGACCCTTTACACTTTAGTCAGATATATTAATTAAAAATAAATGATAAAAATCTTAGAACAATACATTCAAATTGTGAATTCACGACTTCATTCATTTCGCTGATTCGAATTTAGAATTTGAGTTTTGTTACAGTGAAAAGCTCTCACAAGTAGTCACATCTAACTTTTTTGCTACAGTAAAAAGTTCTCACATAAAATTACATCTCAACTCGAATTAAAAATTCGAATCAGTGAACTAACGAGCCCTAATTTTCCCTCTTCTAAAAAAGTCAAAAAAAAAAAAAAACATGATGCGTGGAAAACAAAAAGGGAAGTATTCGACGTCATCAATAACATATTCTCAGTCCAAATATAAATGCAAGCTATTCATTAGTCCCGGATATTCATTTTTCTTTCTTTTGTATCACTTTGTTTACCTATCTTTCTAAAAGCATGCCATATTCCATCATTTTTAGTTGAGGACCTTTTCTTGTTGGGGATTTTTTTTTTTTTTTAAGTCTAAAAATTGGAGTTTATAGCTTATTAATGTATGTATCATTGTCTATTAATTAGGTTATTTAAGATAACAAAGTCCAAAACGATTAACACTACACTCAGTCGTCTTATTATCAGATTATTGAAAAGTCTACGTCATGGGAATAACATTGTTTGGACTCTTCTACTGAGAAGACACACAAAAACTGAATAATTGAGAAAGCTATTATTAGTGTTATAGAAAAATTTGGATTCTTCCTATAATTATTGGATTAGTTGAAAAAGGTTTGGCCCCAAATTAGCAGCCTCGCAATAAGGCCACAAGAGCATGGAGACTGGTCTGATGAACAACAATTAAGAAGTAAATTATAAAAAAAAAAAAAAAACACAATTAAAAAGTATATATGTATATATTCAGCAAAAAAAAAAAAAAAAAAAAAGAAGTATATATGAAATTAAGAAAGATTAGACAGTAATTAATTAGGGAAGTTAAGACTCGAGAGAGTAATAAATGTCTAATTTCAAAAGAGTGACTTCTAAGTTTTGTTGGGGTCCTTTTTATGGTTAAGGCTTCCTTCTTGGTTTCTCTTCTTCTTCTTGCAAGCTAACCTTGCCAAGGTAGGGACAGTGAATGGCTTTGCCGGGGAGGCTTGTATGCCTCCATCCAGAACCACAATATTTTGCGTGAAAAATGTGATTATATTTCAAATTTCTACATTCAGTGTCATATGCAATTTTTATCCACTTTTTAACATATTATTGACCCCAAAAAAAAAAAAAAAATTATGGAGCAGGTTTACAGATTCATGACTAATTATGGGGTGTTTCGAATGTCATGTGTTAAAATGTGATTGCTCTTGAGTTTTGAGACTAATAATAAATTTAACTCAAAATTGTATTAAGGAGCATGTAAATTTTGTGGGAGAACGAGGACAAAAATGCAAAATATAGGGATCAAATATTTTTAGAACTACGATTTCCATTTAATGCACTATGATTTTTCATGAAAACACGCATTTCTAAAACCATCATTTCCACTTAAATGTACGCCGATTTGTGATATAGAATTTAAGGACATGTTTAGTTTACTGATTCGAGTTTTTAATTTAAGTTAATATGTGATTTTATGTGAGAATTTTTTTACTGTAGTAAAAAATTAAATATGACTGTTTATGAGATCTTTTTATTATAACAAAACTCAAATTTTAAACTTAAATTAGTGAAACGAACGGGACCTTAAAAATAAAAAACTTTTTTCTTCTCTTTCTAAAATACGATTTTCCACGTCCTTGCGTGAATTTTGGATTATTTTGAATTTTGACCGTTAGAGAAGTGACGACAACAGAAAGAATCGTGCCTCAGAGAAACATCATGAAAGTGTCATCCACACTCTTTACTTTATAGCAGCAAATAAATAATAAATAACTCTAATCTTTGCCAACATCCGACAAAGTAAAAAGTCCTTTTTCCTCTTCCAAAAAAAAAAAAAAACCCCCATTTTCAACAGGGCCTTTTTTTTTTTTTTTTAGATGGTAATTGAAACTTCAATTAAGAAAGAACCTACTTACCAAAAAAAAAAAAACCACATAACCAATAGATTAGAAAATGATTCAAGGGGATAACATTTCATTCAAAATTGCTTCAAGTATTGTGTGTTTATTACGCTATGGCCAATATTAATGTCAATTCTCACAAAAATTTATTATTTATTTTGGGTCCAATGTAAGTTATGTAACTACTCTCTTATCATCAACATTTTAAGAAAAAAGCCTTAACAATTAATTCATTTCAGCCCAAAAATTGAATGTATTGTGTCCTGAATTAGGTGTTGGGTATCCCGTTTGTTTGGAGGATTCATTCTCTAATTCGAATCATGATTCATGATTCGTTATAGTATTTTTTCTTATAAAAAATACACATAAATCAAAAATAATTTTAATCTCATAATTTTAATTCATGAATCAAACGGGTAACTAATACGGTGAAATATGCCTAATGACAGGAACCTTCTCTCCTTTATGCAGTATGAAAATAACAGATACCAGTTTACAGAAAACAAAAAACACAACCAAACAAAAATGAAGCAGTGGAATTGAAGGTGAAAAGGCAACTAAGAACCATTATGTCTTTGTAGCTCTTAACAGACTCGAAGACAAAAGTAGCATTGAAAACCTATCTACATTACACGTCACCCGTGGGCCTACCCACCCACCCACCCCACCCCCATTAGTTATGTACCATTTTTTTTTAAATAAAAAGAAGTAAATTCTAGTTGGCCCCGTAAGCATGAAAGATACCCTATTTGGTGGAGGATTCAGATCCTGTTTCATGGACTTAGGAAAGTTGAAAACATTTGTTGTTTGGTTTGGAGATTCGTACCCTGATTTAAATCATAGTTCATAGTTTGTTACAGTATTTTTTCTCATAAAAAATATACGTAAATCAAAAATAATTTTAATCTCATGATTTTAATCTATAAACCAAACGTCTCATATTGTGAAGTACATTTTGGTAGAAGCATTTTTAGGAAAATGGTAGGTGTCTCAGGAACTTTTATCCAGGATCATAAAATAGAATTGAAAAATAATCTTATTTTTATGAAACAAGTTTTGGCAGGTAAATAAACATTTGAAATGTAAATAATATTATTATTTAGCATGAAATTGCCGAGTTAAAAAAAACAATGATTCTCTGGACCAATCACATGTAATAAAAAGACACTTCGTTATCACTAGTTCGAATTATAACTCAAATTTTTATTAAAAATGTTTTCTCTCATAAAAACATAAATTTAATTTTTTCTGCTATAATGTTTTCTCTCACATGATAAATTTATTTTTTAACTCAAATTCTCAATTCAAACGAGTGAAACGAATGAGGCTAAAAAGTTTCAATGTTGAAGATTTTATTGTGGATTTACGTTGGACTAATCCTATAGCATACTTATTGTATTTTTTTTAAAAGTAAGATCTTAACATTTGTAACGTCTTTATTGTCACGTAATAAAGAGTTTTCCAGTAACACCTCTTTATCGATAGATTCTATTTCTGACCGTTAAATTTAATCAAAATCATATTACATTAAAAAAGTAAAATTGACATTTTTTTATATAAATATGGCAGTTAAAAATAAAAAATTGTAGACCCGTTTATTTCGTTAATTTGAATTGAGATGTGACTTTATGTGATAGCTTTTTACTGTAGTAAAAAAGTTAGATGTGACTATTTTTAAGAGCTTTTTACTGTAGCAAAACTTGAATTCTAAACTTAAATCGGTGAAATGAACGGGGTCTACAAATTATTATTATTATTATTATTATTATTATTATTATTTTTTAGCTTAGAGAAGCTCCCAAGATAATAAACCGACACATGTTCGTAATTCTTGATGTTGGTATAAGAATAGCGTGGGGGCAGCAATGCACGTACTTGAATTTTAAACTTAAATCGGTGAAATGAACGGGGTCTACAAATTATTATTATTATTATTATTATTATTATTATTTTTTAGCTTAGAGAAGCTCCCAAGATAATAAACCGACACATGTTCGTAATTCTTGATGTTGGTATAAGAATAGCGTGGGGGCAGCAATGCACGTGATGATTTCACACATCAAATATAAGCAGCCCATCATTTTGCTGGGCAAAAGCGCAAACAGGTGTGATGGAGAAACCCAGTGGCCCGTTAGTAGCTTCCGATAGTCATGTGCTGGTTTTTGTAAAATAAATCAGCTCAATATTTTTCTTGTATGTGCCTTTTTATAGACTTAACCTATCCTATTTAGTCGGAGGATTGCTGGGGAATGGAGATGAGAAACCTTTTTGTCGTTTATGGACACCCCCTTTTTTCTGTTTTGCATCTCAATCACAATGTACAATCATTATGTCACAATTCAATAAGTGATGCTATAGATTAGTTTGGTAGTTATCTAGATTTTAAAAAAATTATTGTTAATTGTGCTGAAAAAAATAGTTGTTATAAAAAGTAATTGAATGTTTAGTAAACTGTAATTATACAAGTATTAATTTTAAGGGTATTATGAAAGTTTTATTAATTGTACTTGAAGGTGATTACTGCACAATTTAAAAACTAAAGTTGCTTTTGAGCTGCTTCTGATTTTGATTGTAAATTCTTTAAAAATTCTTTAAGAATAAATTTTTATAGTTTTTATCAAATACAAATTTCAGCTATATATAACTAGATAATTGATTTTAAATTCTAAAAATCACTACTAAACATACCATGCATCTCAACTCTGATAGAGGCATGATTAATGGGCTACAACTTTACAAAATGAGATCTGTACCGGCCCAATATGAAATGAGATTATCGGCACTTGGCAGCCCAAAACCTTCTTCAGCAAGGGCTGGCATAGTTGCCATTAAAAGGGCATTAAAGCATAGAGTGGTTGAGTACTTGAGTTCTATTGGGTTTCTAATATTTAATTTTGAACTTGTGGAAACACAGAGGAATGCCCTTTTAATGGTGGAAGTTTGGAACACAAGACCTGTGTCGTTTTATAAACACTAATTTTTTTATTCTCATTTTCTCTTTTATTATATTGACTTAAAAAGAACAAAATTATAATATAAGAATACAAAAGCAAAGCAAAGAAGTGAGTTAAGAAGTGACAATTTAAGACTCATTTAGTTCACTGATTCGAGTTTTTAATTAGAGTTGAGATCTGACTTTATGTGAGAATTTTTTACTATAACAAAAAAGTTAAATGTGACTGTTTCTGAAAATTTTTTACTGTAACAAAATTTAAATTATAAACTTAAATCAGTTAAATGAATGAGGTCTTAGATTGTATTTGTGTCGTAATTGGTATTTTGGTCTCAACTTTAAATTGTATCTCCGTCCAAGTCAATCGGAATGAGAGAGTTGTGATATTTGAACTTGGTTACGTATCTAGGCCAAACATCGAATACTATAAGATAGAGATGAAAAGACAATTTAAAAAGGTTGAGAATGATAAGAATAGACTAAAGCTTGGGACGGTGCTTATCCAAATGAAAGAATAAAGAAAGTGAAAAAGAAAAAAGAGGGATGGGCCGACTCACCTAATCAAAACCCAACCCAATCTACAACCAAAAACAGCCCAGACATGGCCGAGAGAACCTGCCAGGTCAGCACTACGTCAGATCAATATCTAGCGAGAAAATAGTCTACCAATCATGCATTGACACATCACCCACATTGCAATTGATTTGGACGAGTTTACCCCTAGGAGTCCTTCTATTTAACGCATTTTCCCACTAATTCTTCTTTTTATCCGCGAAGACCTTTTAACTGTCAGCACTTGATACTTTCGAACTGTTTGTAAATTGAACGCATTTCTCTTCTCTCCCATTTCCTGCGCTCTTTCAGTCACTGAGGTCAAAACGATGGCGTCCCTGGCCGCCGTGTTCCGGCGAAAACTCTCCGGCAAAGTGTTCCACGTTCATGTGATGAGAGTTCGATGGTTCTCGGATTCCGCTTCGGGTTCGAATCGAATAGAGAAGATTTTGGTCGCGAACAGGGGGGAAATCGCGTGCAGGATCATGAGGACCGCCAAGCGCCTTGGGATTCGGACCGTCGCCGTCTACAGCGACGCCGATAGGCACGCTCTCCACGTCAAGTCCGCCGACGAGGCCGTGCATATCGGGCCTCCTCCTGCTCGCCTGAGCTACCTCAGCGCCTCGTCGATTCTTGACGCCGCAGCTCGTACGGGCGCTCAGGTGAGCTCCGGGGCCCTTGCTGTTTGTTTCCGGGAAAATATTTGGGAAAGCGAAGGAAATTGAATTTCTTTTTTTTTTTGGTTCTGATTTCATTTTGCTATTGTAATTAGGCTATCCATCCAGGTTATGGTTTCCTATCGGAAAGTGCTGAATTTGCTCAGCTTTGTGAAGATAAAGGTCTGATATTCATAGGACCTCCTTCGTCTGCAATTCGGGACATGGGCGATAAAAGGTACTTCCGTACTGTCTTTCTTCAAGTATGAAATTTCGGTTTAGTGTTCAAGAAGTAGAAAGATTCTAAATAAGGCCTTTCTGAGAGTAGAAATTATATTCTTTCTTAGAGACTAGAATAGTTTAAATAAAATTTTTTTTTTTATCAGTGCGTCGAAGAGAATAATGGGTGCAGCAGGTGTGCCGCTTGTGCCCGGATATCATGGTAGTGAACAGGATATTGAGGTGATGAAATTAGAAGCAGATAAAATAGGATATCCTGTCTTAATAAAGCCCACTCATGGGGGCGGAGGAAAGGTGTGTCATTTTTTTCTTCTTCCTCAGTAATACTGTCAACAATCTTAGAACAATTATGAATCGTGCACTTCCCTATAATCTAATTCCTTCTTTTATCAATGATGATTTTTATAATTTATGATCCATAAAGAGTTTGTTAAATACAGTGTGTAGCGTGTTTAAGGTAGAACGGTATGATGTACCTTGTGAGAAGAGGAAATATATAGCATAACTGAACTTTCAGAAAAATACTTATATTCATGCATTTTTATCCTTTTCCCTTAGAAATATTCTAATGGTTTAGATATTTCTAGGGTATGAGGATCGTGCAGAGTCCGGATGAATTTGTTGAGTCTTTCTTGGGAGCTCAACGTGAGGCTGCTGCTTCATTTGGTGTAAACACAATATTGTTGGAGAAATATATTACACAGCCAAGGCACATTGAAGTCCAGGTTTTTTCTTTTCTTCTTTTTCGATCATCCTTTCCATAATGAGGAAAAGGCACCACGCTTTCTCCTTTATTTTTTCTGTGCAGCATGTTTGGAAAAGTTTGCTTTATGCTCGTTGTACAACTCATTACATTTTATTGCAAGAGCAATAGGCCTTTATTTCTTTTCGTGGAACATTTGATTATTTGCATATTTACATGTTTAATCGTAGATTTATTGTGTTTCAATATCATAGATATTTGGGGACAAACATGAGAACGTTCTACATTTGTACGAGAGGGATTGCAGTGTGCAGAGAAGACACCAGAAGATAATTGAAGAAGCTCCAGCTGTAATGATTGTTTCCTGTATTGTCAGCTCAAATTTCTGATGAAATTTCTACTATTTTAATGGAAAGTCCCTTGCTGCAGCCAAATATTTCTGATGACTTCCGGTACCACTTGGGTCAAGCTGCTGTATCTGCTGCCAGAGTAAGGTCTTTAGATTTGAATGGCTGACGCTTTTGATTTTTGAGCTATTTACATTCTACAAATCCACGATTAGACTAAGAAAGGTTTTCAGAGACCACCATCAAAAAAAAAAAAAAAGAAAAAAAACTAAGAAGGGTTTGACACTTCTCTCTTTTGGATGTTTTTATCCTTATTTTTTTCAGGTAAAATAAATTAAATCAGAGATGCTTTGTTGATATCAGTTGGAAGTGAATGGCTGGTGGCCAAGTAGCATGTTTATTTTTCATTTTGAACCACTCTTGGCCTAAAATAAAACCAAATTGTTCCTGAAGCTCATGTGATCCCTCTTTCCTCATTAAAAAATATTTCTGTTGCCTTTTCTTTTAGTTTCAGTTTATGTTAATTTTCTGCATTATCTTATTTTCAACAGTACTATGGCTACTTTTGTTCGATAAACTAGTAAAAAAAAAAAGGTTCTTAAGCAATTTTCATGACCGTACATCTCTGTCTGATATGCAAAAGGCAGTTGGTTACCACAATGCTGGCACTGTGGAGTTTATAGTCGATACTACCTCTGGCCAATTTTATTTCATGGAGATGAACACGCGTCTTCAGGTGCTTTAATCAATCTCTTTGCATCAAATCTTTTAATCGGAGCCTCCAAATTAACAAAATGCTAAATTCCTTGTTGGGTGCATTGTTTGCAGGTTGAGCATCCCGTGACTGAGATGATTGTAGGTCAAGATCTGGTAGAGTGGCAAATTCGGGTGGCAAATGGGGAACCTCTTCCAATTAGTCAGTCTCAGGTGCCATTGTCAGGTATTTTATCCTATTCTCTTTCTCTCTCTCTCAATTGGAAATATTCCAACATCCTTAAGACATGGACTGAGATTTTATTCCCCTTAGATACAAGCTTTATAATCTTTAATGTGTACCATGACAAGTTTTTCTTAAGTGGCCATGCTGTTCAAGCTCCTGTGAAATGCCAAAGTTTCAATGGTTTTAATACCTCCTATTGATGATAACAGGTCATGCCTTTGAAGCCCGAATATATGCAGAAAATGTACCAAAAGGATTTCTTCCTGCAACTGGAGTTCTCCATCACTACCGTCATGTTCCTGTATCATCAACTGGTCAGTCACATTTCTATTGCCAAAACAATTATGTATGTTGTAGAACCAACATTTCATACATCACTTTGTGTAGTTGTACTTCAAGATATATACTTCTACAGCCATTTTTCATTACCTGGCGATACTCATGCTAGCCCTACTACTAAGCATGTGATATTATAACTACCTTGGTCCAATTGGGTGTATTTCTTTTGGTTGATAACGTCAAATCTGTCTTCTGACAGTTCGAGTTGAGACCGGAGTTGAACAAGGGGACACTGTTAGCATGCACTATGATCCAATGATCGCAAAGCTTGTAGTGTGGGGTGAAAATCGTGCTGCTGCATTGGTTAAACTGAAAGATTGTTTGTCAAAGTTTCAGGTATTCCAGCTATAGTTGCAAACACAGCATTTTTAAGCACTTATTTCCTGTAAGAGATTTCTTATACTTTGTTAGGTTAATTCTTTCTCAAATTTTTTGAGCTGCGTCTCAAAATAGTATTGTCAGCCCAAGCACATAATTTTCTTGAAAATATTTAAGCTACTCAGAAAATTTATTCACAACAGTATATAACTGATGATTCTGGCAGCCAGGTTCGTTAAACTTTTTGAGCCATTTGCCAAAGCATTTTACTAGCTCTTTACTTGCGGATACAGTAGAGGTCATGTAATTTGGTGAATATGAAAATGCATTAGTCAGCCTTCCTTTCTTCCCCTTGAAAATCCACACAACAGTACTAGTTTTCTTCTACAGGTTGCAGGATTACCAACCAACGTTAGTTTTCTTCAAAAACTTGCCAGTCATTGGGCATTTCAAGATGGGAAAGTGGAAACCCATTTTATTGAACATTTTAAAGACGACCTCTTCATTGACCCTGATAATTTAGTATTAGAAAAAGAAGCATACGATGCTGCAAGATTTAGCGCAGCGTTGGCAGCTGCATGTGTCATTGAAAAAGAGCATTCTGCACGGAAAGAAAATATTCCTGGTAGGTTCAGGTCCCAAGCTTTCAGTTGTATACCCATTTTTGAAAGCCAACTAGTACTCACATCCGTTGTTGTCATGTTCAGGAGGCAATGGCTTATTCTCCATTTGGTATTCTTCTCCACCTTTCAGAGTCCATCATTGTGCGAGTAGTACAATGGAACTTGAGTGGGATAATGAATATGATATCAGTGGCTCAAAGCCATTGACACTTTCAATTACTTATAAACAAGATGGGAGCTATTGTATCGAGGTATTCTTTCTGTTTTGATTTCTGTAAAATGGTTATTATTTTCCTTTCAATTATCATGTTCAGGTCTTCCTTTTTTTATTCCCACGAGTGATTCTGTTTCTGTGTGCTATTTGATACAGAGCAAAGAAAACAGTTATCCTGCTTTGGAAGTCAGAGCAACAAAACTGGGCAACAATGATTTCAGAGTTGAAGTTGATGGTGTCATCATGAATGTCAGATTAGCAGTCTACTCCAAGGTAGGCTGGTTTTTCTGCATGCTTGTTTAAGGTCCCGCATAGATAAATACAACTATTTGTGATTCCAATTCGGGCTTGCAGGACCAGATCAAGCATATTCATATATGGCATGGATCACAGCATCATCATTTCAAGCAGAGAATTGGGCTTGAATTATCCGATGAAGATGAATCCCAGCATAAGCCGAGTTTTGAAACATCATCTCATCCAAAAGGAACTGTTGTGGCACCTATGGCCGGTTTGGTGGTCAAGGTTCTGGTAAAGGATGGGACAAAAGTGGAGGGCGGGCAACCGATTTTAGTCTTGGAGGCAATGAAGATGGAGGTTTGCACTAGTGCTAGTTTAATCATGCATCTAAATCTCCTTTTCCTTGCACTAAGTGAGTGTATATATATTTGGTCTACTTTTATAGCATGTTGTAAAGGCACCATCTGCTGGGTATGTCCACGGGCTTCAAGTAACAACCGGTCAGCAGGTTTCTGATGGTGGTGCTCTCTTTAGAATCAAGGTTAGTCGTTTTCCATTTTGCCATGATATATTTCGCTTTATAATCTGTGAGGACGTCGATAATCAGCTAAAAATAGCTGCATAAGTCATATGGGGTCTTATAATACACGAGAAGGCTGTTCTATGCTTTGAAATGCGAGAATGTTGTTAGAATTTTAATCTGTCAATACAAAAAAAAAAAAAAATCACAGGTCCTAACCTTGTTTGTTTCTATAGAATATGTGGATTGCATACTGTATTAAAACACTTCTAGTTTGATTTAAAGTATATTACTTTGCTCCCCTAAAATTTTCTTTTATGGAGAATGTTATGAAAAGTTTCATTTACACCGTATTTCACATATTTTATTGCCGCTATCCATTATCTCAAATCCAAGAATTTGAATAAACAAAAATCACGATACGGTACTATAGGGTAAAATTAACGCAAGTCCCACATCCTACAAGAATGAACACCAAGAGATGAAAAGTATAAGAAAAATGCTCCTTTTTTTTTTTTTTTTTTTTTTTTTTTTTTTGATTGGAGAAAAATGTTAGTTTTATGTTGCTAAATACATGCATGTTTTTTAACAATATTGAGCAGGAATAGGACACATGATCGACTTTGATGACGCCGAAGAGGATCTGCCTCGCGGATGTCAATTGAAAATTGCTCAAGAACAACGCAAGTTCTGTGTTGAAACGTTCTGTAATTTCATTCATAAAATTCTCAAAGTGTATCAAACTTTTACCTAAAAGAAAAAGGAAAAAAGAAAACGTGATGTAGATTATCTATGCTACTGGAAATAAATGGAAAGAAGAAAGTTATTTTCATTTTTCTTTTCGAAAATAGATAGTTTATTTTCCTTGAGCCATTACTATTTCATCTCCTTTTGAGGATTTGTGGATTCATTTTCTATTTCATCTCCTTTTGATCAAGTGGCGAATCAAGTTCCCTGCATTTTTTCTTGTTTGGACCCAGCATATTATATATATATACATATATATATGTATAGTACAAGATATGATATCCGCCTCGGCTAATGTTAAGAGATTGCGTTTGCAAATTAAAACTCGCTCGTTTTTTTTATTACCAAAACTGGCTCATCATTTTTTCTTTATGAATGAATTTATGTTGAGTTTCTCCTTAAAAATAAATTTATGTTGCGCTTCTGCACTCTATCCAAAACACACGTGTATGCTTCTTTGGATATAATTTATTCTACACATGTTTAACACATGCTAATCTTGGAAGAAAGTAGAGTAGCATCCAATTTTTGGGATCGCTTTACTGGTTTGAATTTTCATTCAGTTTTCGAACTAAGAATTTGGTAACACCAATAGTTCAGAATTATGATTCAGAATCATTCTCAATTTACGTGTATTATTTGTGTGAGAAAATACTGTAGCGAATCACGAACCGTGATCTGAATCATGATACGAATTCTTACTCTAAACGCAATAAACAACCGAGAAAAAGTATTAATCGATGTTACATTACGCTTATTTTTTTTATACAATACGGAATCGGCCTAAACCCTACCTCACTCAAACTCAACCTCGAGTGTCATTAGACCAAGAGGTAGGCTAATATGTATTACTACGCTTATACAGCACAAGTTTCACGTTTTGTTACAAGAAAAAAAAAATGCTTAAAAAAGGTTATATATATAATCAATAGATGCAATCCATTAATGGGTTACTGTTGTTGAGATAATATTTTCATTCAATAAAAAAATGAAAAGATTAATATTCTGATTACGAATATCATGCTCACGTGGATTAGGTGGTCTATCCAGAATCAAACCCTTTTTTTTTTTTTTTTTTTTTTTTTTTTTTTTTTGAGTAGAGAATCGAGACGGTTATTATCAATATTGATATGCTACTGTTTTTGGCCTTTGACTGCCCTGATTTCTGGACCCTTTCTCTTTTCAATTAAAAAATAAAAAAATAACACGATTTCCTATGATAAAAATACGATTTTGTTTTAGAAACTATCCTAACAATTAAATAATACCGTTATTATAAATATTGAATTTTCATAAAAAAAAATACTTTCAATTAAAAAGATCAGATTTTGAAAATTGATTTCAATTAAAAAGATAAGATTTTGAAAATTGAGGGCAGTATTATATGAAAATTCAATATTTATAATACGAATTTGTTTAAGAGACTATCCCAACAAATCACTTAAAAAATACTTTATAATAACCGTACATAAGTATACATATTTTTTTAATAGAAGTATCCAAAATCGTATTTTTTTGGTATTTAATTTCCTATATTTTCATTTAAAAAATAATACGATTTCCCTTTGAAAAATAATAAAAAAAAAATATTACTTGTTTTTAGGAGGAATTAGAAAAGGAATCAAATACCAGAAAATTCGTTAAAGAAGGAGATAACAAAGCGTATATCAGGCTAGGATTCTAAATCCTAGTCCTTTTTGAAACAGTCAATTCGGATCTATATATAAGTATTCAGAGCTTCCTATTTTCTCTTCTCATTCACACTCACACAAGTTTACTCTTCATATACTTGCTTATTTTTCTCTGATTCTTTCCACGATTTTCTCTTGATTATTTCGAATTTATACTGCCCGTTAAATCTCGTAAAGACTTCTACTTTTTTGCAGAGTGATTAACAAGTCCACTTATAAGGTTTACATTTTTCTCTCTTGCTCTTTCCAATCTCTTTTTTCATAGTTTTTTTTTTTTTTTTTTTTTTTTTTTTTTTTTTTTGTTAAGCCCAAAAGTTATTTTTCTCATATTATAAACATAAACAGTTGATGACGATAAATATGATTGCATTTAGGCTTTTTGATCTCTAGTTCTCTTGTTAGCAGGATTTTTTTATTAATCTATTGTGTTGCAAATTTATAGATAAAAATAAATATGTTTCAGTCGTGCTAAGACAATTATTTGTGTTTATTTTGATTCTTTAATTAGGTGTGGGTGTACATTACTCTCTTTGATTTTGAAGTAATGGATTCAAGTAACGGAGATATTAGAGATTTTACTACTTATGTTCCATATGACAACAAGCTTTATCCTCCATTTGACAATAAGCTTATAAGCAATGAGAAGAAGAGTAATTTGATTTCAAGGACGATGGATGTGGGAAGTATTAGTGACAGATGGTTGTACGTACGAGGTGAAAAGATTGATTTGAAGACATGGGAAGGTGTTCGGTCTTCTAAGAAGCAGATGAGCCGTCTTTGGCCGTCGTCGCCACCGAAGAAGGAAGCGTGGGAAGTCGATGTGCCTAAATTGAATTTAAGGCATATCATTGCTAAAGGGACTTATGGAACTGTCTACCGTGGTGTCTATGAAGATCAAGAGGTTGCAGGTACGTCGTACTAGCTCATCCCTCCTAGTATTTACACTAGTACTTCTTTGAACAAAATTAGTCTTAAAATAGTTACTTCTAAGTTCCATGAGTGTCTTCCCGTAATTAAGTACATTTAGAGCCCTTTAGTTCGCTGATTCGAGTTTTTAATTTGAATTCAGATGTGATTTTGTGTGAGAATTTTTTACTATAGTAAAAAAGTTAGATATAACTGTTTTTGAGAGCTTTTTACTGTAGCAAAACTTGAATCCGTAAAATAAACGGGTACTTTACATTTTATTTTTGTTAGTTTGCATGTACAAAACTAACAAACATTTTTAGCAGCACTAGAATTTCTTTTTTCTTTGTTTTTTTGGGTCATTTTTATTCAATATTTTTGATCTCTTGCTGTTTTTCTTCTTATAACAGTAAAGGTATTGGATTGGGGCGCCTCTACAGCTGCTGAAACCGCTGAAGTTCGGTCGTCATTCCGCCAAGAAGTTTCTGTTTGGCATAATCTTGACCATCCAAACGTTACCAAGGTAAAACCTTCATTATTTTCTATAAGAATATAGATATATATTATGCATGTCATGATATGATATATGTTCAATATATAACTTTTTTTTTTCTTTTTTTCAACACCATTTATTTGTTTGTCTTTCAGTTTATTGGAGCTTCTATAGAACCGTCTCACATCAAAGTACCTACCAAGAACCCGGAGCTCAATGGCGGTCTAAAATTTACCTATTCCATGGCTTGCTGTGTCGTTGTTGAGTACCTTCCAGGTGGGACGCTAAAGAACTACTTAATCAGGCACAGAAGAAATAAACTTCCCATTAAGACTGTGGTTGAACTTGCTTTGGATTTGGCTAGAGGGTCAGTATTTCTTCTTGTCATCTCTTCTTTTCGCATTAATTTGTTGTTTTCTCTTGTTCTTCTACATCAGTTGATCTTCCTTTTTTTTCCCCTCCTCTCTCTTTTTGTGTTCTACTTTTGCAGCTTGAGTTACCTTCATTCAAAAAAGATTGCACACCGCGATATAAAAACAGAAAACATGTTGCTAGGTTCTCATAGAACTTTGAAAATTGCGGATTTTGGTGTTGCTCGAATTGAAGCTGCAAACCCTCGAGAGATGACTGGGGAGACTGGTACTGTAGGATACATGGCCCCAGAGGTACTGAGTTTCATCTTATTCTTTTTTTTTTGTTTTTTTTTTTTTCTAAATAAGCAGAATATATATATGAGTTGATTCAACATAATACTCTTGTGCAGGTTATTGATGGCAAGCCTTACAATAGAAAATGTGATGTCTACAGCTTTGCAATATGCTTATGGGAAGTTTATTGCTGTGAAATGCCTTATGGTAATTTTAAATTTATTGATTTGGCAACTGGAGTTGTTGAAAAGGTTTGTCTTCTATCAAACACTTGATACACACACACCTTTAACTTTATGATAATCTAAGTTTTTTTTAAAAAAAAACATAAAAGAAAAATTGAAGTCTTATTCTATTTCTTAATGTTTGTGTGACAGAATTTACGACCGCAAATTCCAAAATGTTGTCCCAGATCCTTAGCAAAAATCATGAAAAGATGTTGGGACGGAAACCCGGAGAAACGACCCGAAATGGATGAAGTAGTAAGGATGCTAGAGGCCATAGATACAAGCAAGGGTGGTGGCATGATAACTGAAGAGAACTCTTCTTTTGGCTGTTTCTCGCTTTTCAAACGCGGTCCATAGTTGTTCTGTTGATTCAAATTTTATTGAATCACAGTTGTTTAGGTGTAGTTTAGAGTTTTATTCACTTAGCAATTTCTTTGGAAGACGTATAGTTTCGTATGGATCTTTCCTAAATCAATAAACGGCATTCTTTTGTTTTTGATGTGCATGTTTGCACAACATAAATTTTTGGTCACTTCAATTCAATCAATCTGACCCTTCAACAAAAAAAATGATTTAAGTGAACATGAAATGAGGGATAATTGATGACTGAGCCAAATGGCATAGGATAAGATAGGGGATAATCAATCTGTCATTCTCTCCAATTTCTCTTATCTTGTTCTCTCTTTCTTAACTATTTTACTTCTTCAACATTCTTTTTATATTTGAATGGAAGCAAGTAATAGAAACACAGTCAAAATTCTCAGTCAAGATTAAAAATTATCTGTCGACAAAACTATTGCAAGTAGAGAAATCAAATGGGTCTCCACACTTTTGGTAGAGTATGCTTTTAGAAGAGCATATTATTGGAATCATGGGCTGCGCTATTCCTTGGATTTTTGTCGTGTTTGTGGTGTTGATACCATGAGGAACAAAGGGGATTATGTCTCTGTTTTTTTTTTTTTGATATATAGATTATGTCTCTGTTGTGTGTCATGAAATCAAGGGATATATTCTCTGTACGAGTGTTGCTGTTCTTGTTGAGTGGAGTATCAATTGTGAAGCACAAAGAGTTGAATGCTTATCAGGACAACCAAATTCGCCTATATAGTGGACTTCCAATTAGCCCCATTACAAAATCTATAACTAAGTAATAAAAAAAATACTCTACTAATAGGTACGGTTTTAAATTCTCATACTTTCGTCAAAACTTTTTAATTAAAACGAAAATATAATTAATATGAGAAATTGCCTACTTTTTTTACTTCTTTAAATTTTTGGGGTTTAAACTACACCTCATGAGGGAGTAAGGGTTGGACTTACTGTTTTTGTTTTTGCTTTTATTGTTTCTTTTTTTCTTTTTCTAATAAGATAATTGTACTGGTAATATTAGTTTTTAACTGTTAAATATATCAAATTATATTATAAAAATATGGAACACATAATTTATAATACATATTTAACAATTTAAAATAGAGAATCTTTAATTTTTAATTTTTGTTTTGTTTTGTTTCTGTTTTTGTTTTTATTTTTTGTTTTTTATTTTTTTATTTTGTTTTTTTGAATTAGTGTAATTTTGCTATTAATCGAAAGTCAATTTCAGAATTTAAAAAACGTTTTAAATCTGAGTTTTGTTATAATAAATTTTTTTTAAAAATAATTACATTTAATTTTTTATTATAATAAAAAATTCTTATGTGATTACTCGAGGCAACTGAACGGCCCCTGTAAAGTTGCAAAACCAGACATCTCTTAGAACACACTTCTCAGTCCTAGCTCCTCTCTCTCTTACTCTGCATCAAATTGATCAGACTTGCTCTCGATTCTAAGGCCGTTAAAGTCCGACAATTTCGGGGGATGCGATGGAACCTTGTGCCGCGACATTGATGACCGAATTCCTCCGGCAGTCTGGCGGCGCCGCCGTGATCGACGGTGGGCTCGCGACGGAGCTCGAACGCCACGGCGCGGACCTCAACGATCCCCTCTGGAGCGCCAAGTGCCTTCTCACTTCTCCACATCTCATTCGCGCGGTACTCTTTTCTCTATCTGTTTCTCTCTCACTATCTGTTGCTTATTTCTGTGAATTTTAGCTTTTAAGTGATGAAGGGAATATTGCGAATTGAAAATTTGTTATTTTAGGTTTATTAACCGCAAATCAGGTCCCAAAACTGGCCATTGATTCAGTTCTGTGAGATAAGAATTTGGTATTTTTGGTTATCATGAAAAAAAAAGTTTTAAAATTTTCTTTTTTACGTGTTCTTCTGGAATCTGGATTGGATGAATTTTATGTTTCTCTATCTGTGACCGGAAAGAGGAAAAAATATGATAATTTTAAAAGAAAAATTTTAAAACGGGGAAATTCATGTGAATGTTGCATGTATTTTCTGTGTATATTGGTATTAGAATTCCTTTGGTAAATTTTGTTATTTCATGGGCTAGTTTGGACAGTTTCTGGTGTTCTTGTTGGTATTGCAAGTGTAACGGAAAGCAGTGTGCTCTTTTGTCGTTTAAGCTACAAATTTGCCGTGAATTCAATGCTAAACAAAAAATACAGATATACATGGACCACTGTGTGTGGGTGGTTTCTGACCCTTTGAGCTTTGTTGTTTAGCTTTAACTTTCTAGGATTGTTTTTATATGATTTTGATTAATTAATTTGGACCACCATATGGGCATGGCTTCTGAAACCTGAGCTCTAGTATCCCGAATCAAATTTTTTATTCTACGTAGGTAAAAGTTCGTACGTGGAAAAGATAGGCCTTGTATATATGAAGTTAGAAACTATTCGACGTTCAAAGAAAACCAATCCATGTTTTTTTTTTTTGCAAGAGTAATTTATTAGTTATTGATAAGCAGGTACACCTTGATTATCTTGAAGCTGGCGCAGATATTATAATTACAGCATCTTATCAGGTATGTCCCTTCAGCTAAATTAGTTAATTGTTTCATTCTCTCTGACACTGAGTTAATAAGCTCTATGCGAGCAGGCCACAATTCAGGGTTTCGAGGCCCGGGGCTTTTCAAGAGAAGAAAGTGAAGCCCTGCTCAAGAAAAGTGTTGAGGTTGCTCTTGAGGCTCGGGATATCTATTATGAAAGATGTTTAAAGAGCTCTTCTAGTGGTATTGGAGATGATAAAATTCTCAAGCATCGGCCAATCTTAGTTGCGGCATCTGTAGGGAGCTATGGAGCTTACTTGGCTGATGGGTCTGAGTACAGGTTAGTGGAGTTGTTCATTGCATGGAGTATCTGTTATCCTTAAACTTGAATGAATATGGGGTCTTGTCTGAATTGAAAATAAGGATCGCACGTTTTTCCTCTTTTGTTGTGTACCTCTTTCCAGTGGCATTTATGGTGATGCTATTACGATAAAAGTTTTGAAAGATTTTCACCGGAGAAGGGTTCAGGTCTTAGCAGAATCAGGCCCTGACCTCATTGCATTTGAGACGGTGCCAAATAAACTTGAAGCTCAGGTATGTTTCTATATCATTCAATTAGATTATGGTATCTTTATCTTTTTGGCAATGAGGGAACTAAGTTGTTTTACAGAAAGCATACAATTTTTTTTTGATGGTTTTACACTGGCTCCTTGATTTCTCGCCAACGGTTGAAAAAAGAGTGAAATAAGGAATGATGAGAGTAGTATACATAGTGCCACTAGTAATGAAGGAGTCTTTTTTATTGCAATTGTCCTAGTTTGTATTTGGGTGGCGATGTCTCATTAATCCTGCTTGGTGTCTCATGTAGGCTTATGCTGAACTTTTGGAGGAAGAGAACATTAGTATTCCTGCGTGGTTTTCTTTCAATTCTAAAGATGGCATCAATGTTGTTAGTGGTGATTCTATACTTGAATGTGCTTCCATTGCTGAATCATGCAAGAAAGTTGTTGCCGTTGGGATCAACTGTACCCCTCCAAGATTTATTCACGGACTGATATCGTCTGTTAGCAAGGTATAGTCTCTAGGCCATAATTATTTTTAAAAAAAATGTAGATTTATTATTTATTTTTAAATCAGGATAATCAAGAATACATGTCCTAGCTTTTCTACATGCTTTATTTCATCATAACCTCCTGTTCAGAATTCAAATTAAAGATTAAAAAGGAAAAGAAAGTTCTGTTTCATGCTATCTGGTAATGCAAGTTATTGGTCTGTTCCCTCAAAACATTTAGTTGCGGGCATTTACTTTTTTATTATTAATTTTCCTTGCCTTAAGAAGGAACAAACCAATCCATCAAATCTTTGGGAACGGAAAGACCGAACAACCACCTGTTGCTTCTGCAGCGAAATTGCCCTAGTAACCGTAAAACTACCACCTCTTAGTCTAATATCTAGGTCTTTTGGAATGGTCTGTTCATTATCAAAAAGTTGAAACCACGCATCTTGTTTTCTATTTGCATCTTATATTCCATATATGGTTTTTTCCCCCCCTATCAATTGGTCCTGCATAACGTCTGCTTCTGGATTTATTATCCCATTTCAGGCGACTACAAAGCCAATACTTATATATCCAAATAGTGGAGAAAGTTATGATCCGCATAAAAAAGAGTGGGTGGTAAGTTCATATTCTTTGGTTGCATGTGAAGTACATGGAAGTTTCCTTTGCAATTGCATATTGTTTTCGCATCATGCTTATCCTTCGAAATTCGAAAACCAAAAACCAAGGATGTCCAGTAGGATTCCTGGTCTTCCCTGCGACATTCAAACTGCATGTGTTCTAAAGTTGCCTAATTGTTCCACTGCAGAAAAATACTGGAATTTCAGATGACGATTTTGTCTCATATGTAAACAAATGGGTCGAGGTCGGGGCTTCCCTTGTGGGAGGTTGTTGCAGAACAACGCCAGAAACTATCCGAGCCATATACAGAACTCTTTCCAACAATAGACTGCTCCAGCCCTGAAGTAAACTCATTGACTTGATGGAGTAGAGGAAATGAACAATGATGTTGTGTTGAAACAAAAAACGAAGTCGGTGAGAAGTCGAATGACGTCCTTGTTTGGTTACGAGGGAAAGAGGAGACCTCATACAAGCTGTTAATAAATCTGCCACAAGCGATGGGTGTTCCACAGCTTATACCAAATTTTGAAGCGATGATTTATGCCCAAGTTTTGTAACCAACTGAATGAAAAAATAGACGTCTCGAATTTTGAGTTTTGTTTTCTTTATTTATTCAAGACATCAGGTGATATCCAATTACAGTTTGCCATTGGTCTCTTGACTTATTTCTTGTAGTTTATTGTTCTTTTTAACTTTTATCCTAATCTTCCCACCCCCAAACCAAAGAATAAAATACAAAAAAAAAAAAAAAAAAAAAAGCTTTATTATATGACTCACTATTGGTGTTTTCTTATTTAATTTTAACATGTCATTACCATTTGAGGAGATGCTACTAATCTTAAATACCAATATACCATATATCTTGCATTTCTTAAACGAGCAAATTAATCTAGCTTTTCTTTTCATGTATATCAAGATTTAAGAAGCCCTCAGAATAACATCTCTTATATGTATGTATCCATAGTCCATGTCTCCACGATACACCATACTCATTTGATATCACAAAAAACAGATTGGACAAATTGCAGCATACGTACAAGCTAACAGGGAAATGTCTGAAAGATTCTAAAGGGAAAACAAATACAAAAGTTTAATGTGTGTTATTTCAAGCACTCAAGTTCAAGTATCAAAACCAGAGTAGACACCACTATCCCTCAACAACCTTTTTTCTTCTTCAACATAATTCTTACCCCTGCTTGCCTGACCAAGCTCTCTTTTCCTCTTCTCCTTCTGAGAGAAAGGGAGATTTTTCCTGTCCTTCCGAGTAAGCGCCGTTGTTAGCTGCTCTCCCTCGGCTATGGCGGCCCTGGTTTTCCGTCTCTCTGCATAGGACTCTTCACTCTCCTTGTTGGCCTCACGTTTTTCCTTTCCGGTTGACCAAGACCAGTCCTGCTTCTGCTCTGGCTCCTTCGGCGGCGGCACATTCAAGACCGATGGCCCACCTCTGTATCCATGTCGCCTCAATGCGTCAAAGTCCACAGCATTACTCTTCCGCTTCCTAGATTTCACTGTACAAATCAAACTCAGCCAACTGATACACGAGTGAATTATCCACCATATAAAACTTTCTGCTTTTTAATTGTTAATCACTTTTTGAACAATATGTTATCTATCATATTTTACACCCAAACCATTACAGGAGTTAATTTGTTAAGTTATAATCGGTGACAGATATTATAGTTTAACCAACTACCGTGACCCAAATTTGGTTTAAAAGATAAATCATAGTGAACCAATTTACTTCTGTTTTTCTACTTGCTTTGAAACCCCACCTGTGAATAAATAACATTCGCAATGAGGACAATCAGGAAAATTGGTGCATACCTTCTGAGGCTTTAGATTCAGATTCAGATTCAGAAGATGATGATTCATCGGAGGAGGAATCATCCTCCTTGTCACTCCAAGGCATAGCCCTCTTCATTTGTGCAACTTTGAAGCAAATGAGCACAGTTTATACTAAAAAATGCCCATGAATTTTGAACAGTTTTATAGGGCTTCAACTTAAAAGTAAGTAAGTGAGCAATATCCAAGTTGAACTGCTGGAAGCGACTTCAGCTATTAATCAGGTTAAAATGTCAAAAGGGAAAGGAAAACAATTCGATTTCGAACAAAACTAGCTATTAAGCAGGACGAAGTCAGGTTTTTAAGGAATTACGAAGGCTAATAAGTCGAGCGCATACCGGAATCGGTAACAATTAGGTCTTCGTTTCACGATAAAAAAAAGCTTCTAAGCAGCTGCGGCGGCGGCGGCAGCAGCGGCGGCGGCGGCTGCTAAGCCCAATGAAATCCACTAATTTGGGGCTGCGATGCAGAAAAGGGGCTAAAGCCTAGAGCTTGTCATTCTTGTTTAGGTGAGAGGATGTAGGAGAGTTTAAATCGGGTAATATTAATTTTAGAATTAAAATTATTATTTACAGTTTGAGTTTGAATTTGGGATCTAAATTATAGTGAGGTTTTAACTATTTAAAATTAAAGAAGAGGTAATTTTATTTTTTAGAGTTATTTTGATTTAAAATATTATATTAAATTTTAAATTTTAAATCAGAATTATCTAAATAAAATATTAATTTTCAAGAATTATTTTTTACTTTTTCTAAATAAATAAAGATTTGAATCAAAATTATGGTCCGGTTATAAAATTCTCATATCAAACGTAACTTTAATAGGCAGTTCCCGCTTCCAAAAACACAATGAACAAACCCCCAAGTGGTGAAAATAATAATAATAATAGCAACAGAGTTTATTGAACTTTCCTTCGGCTAATTTACATGATTAGGCCCTGGACTAAGTAACTATGAACTTAGGTTCTTAAAAACTATTAATTTGGACAATTATACTCTTAAATTCATATTTTTTATTTTCATAAATTTGTCAAATGAAAAATGTCTGTTTGAAAAACGGCCCTTACAGAGGCGAGCCTCACAAGGGTTGTTTCAAGACCTTGTAGAGTGAGGACACCAGTAAAAAAAAAAAAATTTACCGTTAACTCACAATTCTGACTCTCAAAACTACAACTACTGCAACTATTCACGACGCTTAGGTGTTTGGTATGAAAATTCGTGTCATAATTTAAATTATATTTCGTGACTCACTATAATATTTTCTCACAAAAAATACACGTAAATCGAGAATAATTTTGAATCATGATTTTAAATTCGTAAACCAAATGTGATTGGTCATAGTTTAAGACGAAATACTCAGTAGTTGGGTGCGACAACGGGGGAGTTGAGTGAGAAAATATTTAAAAGAAAAAAACATCATATCTTAGATTTTTTTTTTTTTTGGAGAAATTTTCTTTTTAATATTTGTAAATTATTCGTTTAAATTTTGTGTTATAATTAATTAATTAAAAAGTAGTTTGTGCATTTTATCATTTAAGTCCCAAAAAAGAGTAATTAAGGGGTTGTTCTTTTAGGGGCTGTTCGGCAGCACCTTTTTTTGAGTTAAAAACTCAAAAAAATAACTCGAGTTATAATTTTATTTAAGTTTATGTTCTTTTAAGTTTGAACTCGAGTTTGGGACTAAAACTTGAGTTCAAGTTTCCCCTTCAACTCGAGTTCAGAAACTCGAACTCAAATTAATGAACAATATTTTTTCTATTCTTAAAAATGCTATAACTTTTTCGTTTTAATTCTGATTAAGATGATTTTTTTTCTATGCGTTGATAACAAAAAAGACCAATAAAACCACACCCATATACCCTATTAAAATTTTTCATCAGCATTGAGTTTTTATTAAAATACTATCTATATACAAATTCAAGTTTTGACTCACTCAAACACAAACTCAAAAAGATTCTTATCTCAAATCATAACTCAAATGTACACAACCAAACACAAACTCAAGTTACAACTTCAACTCAAATTATAACTCAAAATCTACATTCAAGTCACCTAACTCAAAAACGACAAAAGAACAAGCCCTATAGTTTTGAGTTAGGGTGATTTGAGTGATGATCTTGAGTTGAGTTTGAGTTATAACTTGAGTTGAAGTTGTAATTTGAGTTTGTGTTTGGATGTGCACATTTGAGTTATGATTTGAATTGAGAATTTTTTGAGTTTGTGTTTGGTTGAGTCAAAACTTAAATTTGTATTTAGATAGTATTTTAATAAAAATTCAATGGTGATGAAAAATTTTAATAGGGTATATGGGTGGAGTTTTATTCGTCTTTTCGTTGTGAATTCATAAAAAAAAAATTATCTCAATCAGAATTAAAACAAAAAAGTTATGATATTTTTAAGAATAAAAAAATATTGTTCATTAATTTGAATTTAAGTTTATAAACTCGAGTGGAAGAGAAAACTTAACTCGAGTTTAGCCCCAAACTCGAGTTCAAACTCAAATTTTACAAAAGAACATAAACTTAAATAAAATTATAACACGAGTTCAAATTTTTTCTAAGTTCAGTTTCAAAAGAATAGCCCCTGAGATATCAAAATAATATTTTTTAACTGTCAAGTTACTATTTTAATATTAAGAGAAACACAAAATATTGAAGTGAATTTTTAATTCAAAAAACAAAAGCTATCAAAATATTTTTTTTCTTTTTTCTTTTTATTTTGTTGGTTTTGTTTTTTACAATTTACATGTCGTTTTCATTCGAGACTCAAGAAATGGGAGGGCAAAGTTAACTCCTCAAGGACCGATTCTGTTTCGTTATAAACAATTTGGCGCCAAACTCCCGTCCTTCAACGGAGTCAAAACCTTTATAAGACTAACTCCACAGTTCTTGGAACTTCAATCACTACTTTGTTTGCGTTATCCATGGATCACCCTCTCTACAACACCCACGTAAAGCTCCTTGCTTCCGACCTCCTCTCTCTCACTCCAGTCCCCTCCTCAAACCCCAACCCCGTCTCCTTCTCCCGCAACGGCACCCTCCTCTCCCGCGCCGAGACCGTCGGCACGGTCATCTCCCGCGACCTCAGACCCGAAAAATATCTCAAATTTGTCGTCGACGACGGCACTGCCTGCGTCGGCTGCATCCTCTGGCTCAACCACCTCTCCTCCCCTTACTTCTCCCGCCGCTGCGCACCAGATGTTCGGATTATTGCCCAAGCCGCCAATCGCTTCGCCTCGGAGGTGAAGCTCGGCGCTGTGGCCAGAGTTCGTGGCAGGATCACCATGTACCGCAGCGAGGTTCAGATCACGGTGTCGGACGTGGTTGTGGATAGGGACCCCAATGCTGAGATCCTGCATTGGCTGGATTGTATGAGGCTGGCTCGTCGGTGCTATGATGTTGTTGCGCCAAGAAAGTAAATAGTAGATCTTTGATATTTAGGGGGTATCAGAATTTGTAGTTAGCTTTGGCTTTGTCTTCTTCTGGGCCAATATGAGTAAATGTGAAATTAGTTCCCTTGTACCTTTCAACCCCTTAACGGTATTCACGGTCCCCTTTTAGTTAATGTGATTCCTTACTTCTTATTCGTGGACTTTTTTTGTTTTTTGTTTTTTTTGTTTTTTGGCTTGATATTTTAAGGTATAGAACAGAGGCATTCGAAAGATTAGGTTAGAGTATTGAAGAACACACATTGAAATCGCTTGTGAAATAAACAAGTTCCCTCAATTTTGTCTGTCCTCATGGTGTACCCTACATTAGAGCTTTCGGCCTAATTGCGCAAAGAAAATTTGATTTGGGGCACTAGTGGCTTTGCTTACGAATTTTCGCAAAACTTTTAAGTTTTTGTTTGATACTTTGATATCAATCTTCAAGTACCATACGAGTGATTTTTCAGGGTGTGTGTAATCTGCTCAAGGAGGTGTAGACATTCAAAGTCTTACTATTGCGACGTCCCCGGCACTTGGTATGTTAGGATTTTAACTCTATACGTCAAGGTGAAATCAGAGGTATATTATGATAGACTATGCCTACAATCATGGTATTAGCGGACATAACAACCTGATCTCATTACTTTCTGCAGCAAACTTGTATTTAGTATAATCTAGGTGGGTCTTTGTGAACCTTTTATATAGGGTTATTTAGGCAATTAATTTGTAAAGGCTGTAACTGGTGCTTATGGGGTTTCCTGTATACGTATGAACAGAAGGTTGAGATGGTGAAATGAATTGGAACCTAAATCTTTTTTGTTTAAGTTATGCCACTAAAAAGTCAACAAAGAAAGTCTTCCGTCTCTATGTTTTTCCCGGGCCTGACCCTGCTAGTTACGCCGCGTGCTTTCAAAAGCCTTGCAACTTTGGGGAGTTGGTTCGTTATTAAAGGTTGTTAAAGCTTTGCGGTGGTACGGCTATCTGATGTACTTTTGGTTGAAATAACTGACGCTTAACGAAGAAACTAGGGTACATCTTATACCATATGGTCCAATTTCAATGTCTAATGAAAATAAACAATTATGAACCGTTAAAAATTTTTCTAGCTAAAAAGCTAACAACTTTCTTTCAACAACTGAGATTGATTCTTTTTTTTTTATTTTTTTTTTCCATCTTATGTGTGGAAATTGTATTGCGTGGTGTATTCTAAAATTCTATGGTGTACCGTAATTTTCGCCGAAACTTGTTAATATTTCATGAGTAATATGATATTGACAAGTCTTACAAATTCCTCTGCTCTGTGGAAGGTTTAGAATGAGCATAGAGTTTTACAGAAACAAGTGAAGACAAATTAGGCAATGAGTTTGACTGAAAACAGAAACAGTTTTCTGTGGTAAAGAAATGAGAATGAAGCAAAAGCAAAATTCAAAAAAATAAAAATCTTTATATCAGTACACTATGACAAGGCGCAAAGGAAGTTTTTGTTGGCATGAAGAATAGGGATGGTGAAACTAGGTTTTCCCTACCGTTGGCGTTTGATCAATGACAAACAAACAAAAAAAACAAGTGAAGACAAATTAGGCAATGAGTTTGACTGAAAACAGAAACAGCTTGTCCTGTGGCAAAACAACAAATAATGCAACTGAATTCTCAATTGTTGCCCCATAAAAAAATTCTGTGCCTTTATGGGCTAAGACCCTAAGAAAATTGACTTATAATCTCGTTGGTGGATAATTAAGGCGCCGATCCATTCTCTGTGGTGGATGTTGCCAGCAATTTGTTAGTAAGTTGTTGCAGTTAATGCTCACTGGCCGAAGCAAAAGAAATGCTTTTGTACAACTATGGTCAACAAAATGAAAACTTTTACTTTCACTTTCAGTTACTCAGTTTCCATATCCCTTTTTTACTAAAGGTTCAAAAGAGAGCATATTTTGAAAAGGGCATTGCTGTAAACTTCTGAAAAATATTGCTTGTCGTCCTCGGATTATTTGCCAGTTCTCTGTCCTTCTCTGCCAGATGAATTTGGTTCTCACTTTTTCCCTTCTCACTACTCTTCTTTTACTAGTTTATCTAAATGAGTATTAGGCATCGTTTACTTCGTAGATTTAAGTTTTTAATTTGAGTTGAGATGTGATATTTGTTTAGAACTTTTCACTATAACACAAAAAATTGATGTGACATTTTCTGAGAGCTTTTTACTGTATAAACTTAAAACTGAAAACTCAAATCAGTGAAATGAACGAGCTCTCAGAGTATATATCCATTTTTACTAGTACTTTGTTGGCTTGTTGCTTCTTATTCTCAAAGTTTAAATCGATAAATTTGATTTTTTAAGAGTGGACAGACCATGATAGTTCACATTTTAGAAAAATTATTTGGCTGTGCAAAACTCGGGTCTGTGTCACGCGGACATGGGCCCCACATATATTTCATGACATCCCAGAAGCATTAATGTTGTTACTAATGTTTTCCATTTTTTGTTTTTTGAATACATTGAAAATTCATAGACCTGACATAGACGTTCTTATTTTTCATAGTTGGGAAAAAGAGGAGGTGAAGGATAATGACCTCATGATTTAATGGGTGGTGACAGGTGCTACGAAAATTATAAGACCAGTGAAAAGATGTTTTCCTCAGGTCACTGAATTGGGAAGAAACTTGACCCCTCGTGAAGCTTTTTTGCTTGAATTCCTTCTTCATTTTCTATCCACACAGTGAAAACCTTCACATCAGTATCAGCAAGTCAACTTTGTGTTTATTCACTATGCATTCCCTTGTGCGTGGCTATTGTACAAATAATTTATTAAAAAAAAAAAAATCTTTAGTGAATTGAATTGGCAATAGTGACTGAAAAGGAAGATTGGTTCTTCTCTATTAACTGCTTTTTTACTCTACATTAATACTTGAAGGCCACATAAGTAGAATTTAATTTAAGAATAGAAAGTTAAGGCCCCGTTGATTTTTTTTTTGCCACTTAAAATCACACCTCAAGTTTTTATTATAGTATTTAGGGCCCGTTTAGTTCGCTGATTCGAGTTTTTAATTCGAGTTGAGATGTGATTTTATGTGAGAGCTTTTTACTGTAGCAAAAAAGTTAGATGTGATTGTTTGTGAGAGCTTTGTACTGTAGCAAAATTCGAATTCTAAACTCGAATTAGCGAAATGAACGGGGCCTTAATCTCATAAAAATTTAAATTTAACTTTTTCTTACTACAATATTTTTTTTCACATAAATTCAACGAGCGAAATGAACGTTGCCTAATTTCTAACTATTGGGTGTGTTCATTTGACTTGAATTGTGTATGTGAAAAAAAATACTATAACAATATGATTTGAGTCAAATGTTAAGTTGTACAAATGCACCTTAAATCAAAAGCACTCTATTCTTTGACTCTAGATCTCGTTTATTTTATCGATTTAAATTTTTTATTTTAATTTTATTACATTAAAAATTTTTATAAAAAATCACATTTAATTTTTTTATCATAATAAAAATTTTATATAAAATTATATCTTAACTCAAATTAAAAATTTAAATTTTTAAACAGAATGAATGACGGCTTACATTGTTTGCCAAAACACTTTGAAACGCAATAAATGTTGTATTTGTACCGTTGTGCATGTACAGTACAGACATACAGAATAGCTTCTCTGATCTGACCCCACGTATGTTGGGCCGCATTTATTGTTTCCTCCTCCTCCCAAAGACGAATATAGGCCCACATAGCAGCGTCTGACAACAGTAGTGGGTCATATGAATAGTTTTGTGGATTGGGTTCTAGGCCCATGTACAATATAGCCCAGATTGACAACAAAATCAATGTTTGGATAATTGGAATCTTTTTTATTTCTTTTATAAAATTGAATATTGATCGTCCAACAAATGCCATATCGGATAATCGGACGGTCGTAGACTACACATTATGACACCCTCTTACTCTTTTCTATACTCGCTTTGTTTTCATTCACATGCACACTATACAGTCTTTTTTTTTGTTTTAGTCAAACTTATTATGCATCTAATTTATATGTATGTATACGCGTATATGTAGGAATACATGTCGGATAATCGAAGGACAAAGAGTCTACATCAGAGCCACATCAGCAAGTACAGAAAGGCCCAGGAGAGGTGTTGCTTTGGAAAAACCTCTTTCTTTTGCCAGACGGAGAAGAAAATGACATGGGAAGAAAGCCACATCTCAATAATAAAAAACGAGAGGAATAATTATTATGAGGGGGGTGTGATTTTAAATTTTTATTTCTTATTTTTTATTAATATATTTTTTTAATAAATATAATTATTTGATTAAAAATAATATTATTTAAGAATAATATTTAGAACTCGTTTTAAAATAATTTTATTTTTTGTATGAAAATAAAAATAAAAACGTTTTTAATCTCAGACAGTAATCATTTTTAAAAATGCGTTTAGTAATTTTATTAAGAAATTATTTTCAGTGTAAATAAACATATTAATGTATATCTTTTTCTCTCTCTCTTCGAGAGAGAAAACAATGAAAATAACTCATTTTATATTAAACTAAAAATTGTTTTCATTTTTATTTTTTGTCTTTATTACGTCAAACACTATTTTAAAAATATTTTTATTTTTTTTTTTTCAAAAAACATGAAAAATAAAAAAACGGAATCAATTTTAAACACGACCTTAGACTCATG